CGCGCGGTTTTTGCGCCTTCGCTGGAGCGCCTGGAGCAGTAGCGCGCACGCGAAAAGGACTAATTTTTCAGCGCAACGCTTGTTTAGCGCGTATGTTGAAGATGCTCTAAGAAAAAAAATACTACTCCCTCTAAATTAATTGACACGGCCTCTATACAAGCTCTATATAATGTTCTATAGAGGATGCGTCGATTAATTCGGATAGAAGGAAGTACCTAATTTGCAAAAAATGACGTCTTGCATGAAACATACTTGTGTAGGTGCACCACTATCTCTTGTGTGTATGTGACTGATCTTTTTTATTCCCTGCAAAAGAAAAAGATTGAAATGTCAGTAACATTACATTTTTACAATCAACGTCTTTATCGAGAATCTTGGTGAGGTTGTTGTCATTGTCTGTCGGAACAAAGAGGCGGGTACGGTTTTCGTGTAAATGCCATGGTTGCAGCTAGCTGGCTCCCCTCGCCACCTGACGGCTTATAACGCCTGCGAGGTGGGAGGGGAGTGGGAGCATAGTCTGGGTTGATCATCGTTGTCATCATTATTATAGTTACACTACACGGAATTTTCCTAAAGGGGGTGCTCCTAAATCTCCTTTTATGTGAAAAAGAAAGCCAAATCTTTCGCCTTTCGAGCTCCCCATCATAAATCTATCAATAAATGTTACTCCTACAAAGATGTACTCCCACCGTCTCAAAATAAATGACTCAACTTTGTACTAATTTTATATTAAACTTAGTAAAAAGTTGAGTCACTTATTTTGAAACGAAAGGAGTACTTACTAACACAAACTATCATCGAATGGTCACTAAACATTTCAAAGTCAAAATGGCCGGTGAGTCAAAAGAAAATGCAAGTCCATTTTAAATGTCGAAATATGTGCCCTGAGGTGAGAAAAAACAAAGCAAGTCCGGTTTGGCATCTCGGCCGAAATTGCACGAGCAAGCAAGTGGAATCCAAGTTGGATTATCCAACCAACCTACACCGCTAATCAGACTACCTGTCAGTCAGCTCTGTATACACGTTGGAAACAGGGAATGACCGGTAGCTCCTGTCAGACTACCTGTCAGTCAACCTACCACTAATCAGACCACTAATCAGACTACCTGTCAGTCAACCTACCATAAATCAGACTACCTGACCGGTAGCTCCAACTATCCTTTAGCGACTGTATACGGGACTGACTACCAGTCAGTGGATTGAATCAGATTTGGGCAGAAATCACATATTTGACCTGAAGGCAAAATCAAATCACAAACTGACCTGGTTACTAAAAAAATTCACCCTACTGACCTTTTAAAGTGGCACCCGACAGCTAGGCGCCGCACCCTACAGTGCAGCGCTTCTGTCTTAGGCGTCGCACCTCCTGCCAGCGTGGCAGCCCGAAGCCAGGTGCGGCCCCACACACAGCTGTGCAGCGCCTAAGCCCTAGGCGCCACACTTGTAATGTGCAGCGCCTAGGCCTTAGGCGCTGCACAGTGACTTAAGCGCATCGGCCCAGCCCGACTAGGCAGTTCTTCCCCCTCTCCCCTCTCTGGACAGAGAGCAGCGGCGGCGCCCCCATCGAATCCCCCCCCCCCTCACATCCCTCTCAGATCTAAGATTTGATCCGTGGATTCGATCTCCAATCCATCCTACTAGGTAAACTCCTCCGTTCCTTTTCTTCTCCTCCGTAAATTTGTTGCCATTTTAGAGATTTGTCCAAGTTTTGATGGAACCCTTGATTTGCTTGATTTAGGATGTGTGGTAGTACCGTAGTGTTGTTGATTAGTTCACAATATATGATTCTTGTTAGTGAAACCCTAGATTGTTTAGTTTTTTTAGAATTGTATGAGATGCCTATTTTTATAGATAACTATGAGATGTTGAGTTTTGTAGACATATATGAGATGTTTGTTTAGATATATATTAGATGTTGAGTTTATTTGAAATATGAGAGTTGAGTTTATTTGAACACATATGACATATTTATTGTCTGAGAAGGAGATGTTGAGATTCTTGTAGTTGAACACATACTAGATGTTTAGTGTATACCGATATTTGAGATGAAGATGAATTCATATATGTTTATTGTTTGAAATTGGTAAGGATGGTTTGGCTTCTGGACGATGAGTACGACACGAAACACCGGGCCTACATGATGCGTGAGAAGGAGAAGGTAATAACTAGTAATCTAAATATTTTGCAAATTTGCCTTTAGTTGAAATTTACATGCCCTAAGATTTTTCATTACTTGTTTTTTGCAGAAGCTTGAACCTCTGAAGATTCAGTATCACGGGGTCTCTGGTCCTGCCATGCCTTACGATGATCGGTACACACCGTACATCAAGCAGACAGGACTACTCCTGTGGATTCAGTTGGTCAGCCGGTCCACGCCGAATCTGAACGCTCCACTGGTGTCCGCTCTTGTTGATCGGTGGAGGCCGGAGACGCACAGTTTCCATCTTCGGACTGAGATGACCGTGACGCTCGAAGATGTCTCGTTGATCACCGGTCTTGCTATCGACAGGAGGCCTCTCTGTATGAGCATCGATTCTGATGGATGGCGCGAGCAGGTGGTTGCTCTTATCGGTATGGCTCCTACCGAGGCTGAGGCTGATGTAGAGGAGGGAGAACAGAAGAAGAAAATGGAAAGGAAAGCAGCCGGAGCTGCTTTCACGTGGATTCAAAATAACTTTGTGACGTGCCCTCCGGATGCCACTGATGATGTGATCCAGACACATGCTCGTGTGTATATGTGGTACGTTGTGTTGAGGACTTTGTTTCCTGACTCCACTGGCAAGAACGCTCCATGGATGTGGCTGAAGGCGTTGACCGTCTTCGATAGCAAATGGAGCTGGGGTTCAGCGACTCTTGCCTACTTGTACCGACAGGTAGTTGCTCTGTTTTGTGATCAACTCATTTCTTCATTAGCAATGCAAGCTTGCTGTCAAGTTAACATTGTTTTTCTTTCATATGCAGCTGGACGATGCGTGTTGCAGGATCACAGATAGTGCATGCATTGGTGGTAATCCGCTTCTACTTTCTGTATGGAGCTGAGAGCGTCTGCCTGTTGGACGCCGCAGTTTTAATCCTTGGTATGAAGATGTACATGACGAATTACGGCGCCCCACTTGGGCTTACAAGTGGGATATGGTTTCCGAGATGACGAACAATGTCAATCTCATGTACCAAAAGTACATTGCCGAGTTGGACACGATTACCCTGAGCAGGTAAGGAGGTCATTACTTCAGTCCTTTCTCATGCCTGCTTGAAAAATAGTCATCAATTTTGCATTGTTGCCCTATTCATAGGTGGTATGGAGATCAACTTCATTGTCATCCTACTCGTACTCATCATTCTCCTCTTCAAAAGCTTCATTTTGGTTGTTTGGAGTCGGGCTCAATGTTGGCCAATCTTGTTGCGTGAAATGAGGTTCACTCATTTGATCTTGGTTCATGGGTGCGGGAGTGCTAACAACCAACGAGGAGGGGTTCCGGTTCAAGTCCAAATTCAAAGTAGACTCAACCGTCTTGGAGGCAAATAACTCAAGAGTCTTGTCTAGAGATTCGGCAACCGTCTCCTTGTATGCAACCCAATGTTGCTCGGAGTTCACAATCATTGTCTTCCAACGGATGTGCATTCCAAAACCAACATTATGCCTTTTCTCGAACTCAACAACATCACTTGGATCCATCCAATTCAAATCATTCCTCACTTGTTCCAAGAGCTTATTTTTAGTAGCACTAAAAAATAAAATAAAATAAAAAATAATTTAAACAAGAAAAACAACTTACACAGAATTGCATTTTTTATTATATGCCAGAATAAATATATAATTTTGTGTTTGTATTTTCTTTAAGAAGAAATAACATTTATAACATAACTGACGCACAACTTTGCACAGAAATTGTATTTTGTCATAATATACAAAAATAATCATATAATTACAAAATTTTGGCACATATTATATAGTATTTGTATGTATATAATTACACCCAGACGGAAACCCAAAAAACAAAATATAACCGATAAAGGCAAGAGAGAAAAAGACGTGGTTGGGTCTGCTTTGCATGAACACACTACATGGAATTTTCCTAAAGAAAGGTGCTCCTAAATCTCCTTTTATGTGGAAAAAGAAAGCCAAATTTTTCGGGCTCCCCGTCTTAGGCCCACACTATCATAATTCTATGAATAAATGCTACACACCTACAAAGATTTACTACAAACTACTCCATCCGTTCGAAAATACTTGTCAGAGCATGGTTAATAGTATAGGCAGCTGCTGGCTATAAGCCAGTGCCATGTCATCTACAACCCATCTTATAGCCAACATGTATAATAGTAGATCAAAAGAGTGTACTACTTTTTCATTATGTGGCCCACCTTTCATTCTCACAAAGTGCCTAGAAGCACGTGCTAGAGCTGGCTCTTCACGAAAAGCCCGCTTACCTTCTCTCTCCTCTTCTCTTTCCTCCAACTAAGCAAAAATATACTAGTTTATTCCATATAGCCTGCTGACTCATCTCTATTATACTTGCTCCCAAAGAAATGAATGTATCTAGACATATTTTAGTTTTTAATGCATTCATATTTATTCATTTCAACGACAAGTATTTCCGGACGGAGGGAGTATCATCGAATGGTCAATAACATTTCAAAGTCAAAACGGCCAGTGAGTCAAAAGAGATTTCAAGTACATATAAAGTGTTGAAATGTCTGCCAGGAGGGGAGAAAAAACAGAGCAAGTCCGGTTTGGGCGTCTAGATGGCACGAGCGAGCGAGTGGAATCCAAGTTGGATTATCCAGCCAACCAACCACTAATCAAACTGCGTGTCAGTCAGCTCCAACTATCCTATAGCGACTATACATACACACGTTGACTAACTCACGTCTCTCAAAAAATTCAGATATAAGAAACGGCATCATGGCCCCGCTGGAAATTAGCCGCGCCTGTTGACTCCATTTCGGCCGTCGGTTCCCCATCGGGCGTCTCGCGTAGCGCCTCGCTTCCTCTTCTTATGCCGTGGCAGTCTGGCAGAGGCCAAGCCTCGTGTCACTTGCTCTGCTCTTCTTCCGTCCCCCCCAACAACCACGAGATAGGCGCCGGCGGTCGCAGGCGACTGAAGCTAGCCTCCGCGTCCGATCCGGCGGCCATGGAGAAGCTCGGCGCGAACCCGGCGAACTCCTGCCCGCTCACGCCGCTCGGCTTCCTGGAGCGCGCCGCCACCGTGTACGGCGACTGCCCCTCCGTCGTGTACGGCGGCACCGTCTTCACCTGGTCCCAGACCCACCGCCGCTGCCTCCGCCTCGCCTCCGCGCTCGCCTCCCTCGGCGTCTCCCGCCGCGACGTCGTAAGCACCCACCCGTCCGTCCGTCCCCTAGCTTAATTCTTGATTGCCGCCTCCGTCGTCGATCCCGCCGCGGCAAGGTGAATTTAATTGGATTGAATTGGGCTGGTGCGTGATGATCGATGCCGTGAATCAACCGCTGCAGGTGTCCGTGCTGCTGCCGAACGTGCCGGCCATGTACGAGGCGCACTTCGGGGTGCCCATGAGCGGCGCCGTGCTCAACAGCATCAACACGCGCCTCGACGCGCGCACGGTGTCGGTCCTGCTCCGTCACTCGGGGTCCAGGCTCATCCTCGTCGACCCGGCGCTGGTGCCGGTGCTCGACGAGGCGCTCCGGCTCCTCCCGCCGGGCCACCCGGCGCCGCGCGTCGTGCTCGTCGAGGACCCCCAGGAGAAGGACTTCTCTCCCGCCCCCGCGGCGGCCCTGACGTACGAGAAGCTGCTGGAGATGGGCGACCCGGAGTTCAAATGGGTCCGGCCGGCCAGCGAGTGGGACCCGATGATACTCAACTACACCTCCGGCACCACGTCGGCGCCCAAGGGCGTCGTGCACTGCCACCGCGGCATCTTCGTGGTCACCATGGACTCGCTCGTCTCCTGGTCCGTGCCGGAGCAGCCGACGTACCTGTGGACGCTCCCCATGTTCCACGCCAACGGCTGGAGCTTCCCGTGGGGGATGGCCGTGGTGGGCGGCACCAACGTCTGCCTGCGCCGCGTGGACGCCGCCGAGGTCTACGACACCATCGCCCGCCGCGGGGTCACGCACCTCTGCGGCGCGCCCGTCGTTCTCAACATGCTGGCCAACGCGCCCGAGGGCGTGCGGAGGCCGCTCCCGGGGAAGGTGCAGATCCTCACAGCCGGCGCGCCGCCGCCGGCCGCAGTGCTGGGCCGCACGGAGGCCATCGGGTTCGACGTCAGCCACGGGTACGGGCTGACCGAGACTGCGGGGCTGGTGCTGTTGTGCGCGTGGAAGGGCGAGTGGAACAAGCTGCCGGCGTCGGAGCGCGCGCGGCTCAAGGCGAGGCAGGGCGTGCGCACCCCCGGCATGGCCGAGGTGGACATCGTGGACGGCGAGACCGGCCGCAGCGTGCCGCGGGACGGCGCCACCATGGGCGAGATCGTGCTCCGCGGCGGGTGCGTCACCATGGGCTACTTCAAGGACGAGGACGCCACCCGGGCGGCGATCCGGGACGACGGGTGGTTCTACACGGGGGACGTGGGCGTGATGCACCCGGACGGGTACCTCGAGATCCGCGACCGGTCCAAGGACGTGATCATCAGCGGCGGCGAGAACATCAGCAGCGTGGAGGTGGAGTCGCTGCTCTACGGCCACCCGGCGGTGAACGAGGCGGCGGTGGTGGCGCGGCCGGACGAGTTCTGGGGCGAGACGCCGTGCGCGTTCGTGAGCCTCAAGGAGGGCGCGTCCGGCGCGGTGACCGCGGCCGAAGTGATCGCCTGGAGCCGGGAGCGCATGCCAGGGTACATGGTGCCCAAGACCGTAGTGTTCCGCGCCGAGCTGCCCAAGACGTCCACCGGCAAGATCCAGAAGTACGTGCTCCGGAACCTCGCCAAGGAGATGGGGCCGACCCGCAGGGGCGTCGGCACCACCACCAGCAAGATGTAGAAGTATATCCAGATAGTGTCGTGGTCATCCTCCTCCTTGGCTTGGATCGGGTGCCCTTTTTAATTGCCGTAGAAATTCAGGGTTGTGTCGTCTTGCTTCGCTTGATCTGCAGCGCCATGGCAAATCGCGTTGGCATGTCTGCTCTGCAGATCAGCAAGCCTGTCTGCTGCAGCTGCAAGATTCTATTATGTGCATGCATGATGCATATCTCCCTGCTGGTTATGTGAAAAATGAGACCACCCTTGTGACTGAAAGTCTGAAACTGACGGTGCGCAGGAAGATGCCAATGATAGCCACTGGACTGAGAATTCATTCCAGGGTAGGCCGCCGTCGTTTCGGTAATCTTTCGGAAAAGTGATTTCTTACACTGCAATCATTCATTGGTTAGAAACTTTTTAAGTGGAAGAAACGGGGAGAAAGGTGAATCGGTGCTTCAAGGAATTTGCAGCGCCTTTTTCTTCATCTCTGCTTGGGGTTCAGTTGGATTTGCTTATGCTAATACTTTCGCCGTGTCTCTGTAATTCGCTCATGTCACCGAACCTGAAAAATTCAACTCCATTTCGAAAAGTAAAAAATATCATCCCCATCACGTGTTGCAAAGTAAAAACCAAAAGTTACTGAATGACGTCAAAGACCCCAATGCGGCGACGCCTGCTTGCATCCTTCCGCCTTTCATATCCAGATTTACATTTTCTCAGCCACTTATATTTGAAAAGTTCATGATTTTAAGAGAGTATTCACGAATTAAAAAACGTGAATTAAAAAAGTTGTTGAATTGAAAAATGTTTGTGAATTTTAAAAAATGTTTGTGGATTCAAACAATATCAATATAATTTCTTCTTTGAAATTTGGAAAATATGTACAATCCACAAGTATATCATAAATTTTTAAAATGTTCACAAAAAAAATTCTGCAAATTCTAAAAGTGCATGAATATTTAAAATAGTCATGAGACTTGGATTCAGAAGAGGATGCACACTTAATAAAATCATGAATTTGAAAAATGGTTGCAAATTTGGAAAACTTTTGGAAAATTTATAAATTTGGTGACCTCAAAAAATTTCATGAATTCAAAAATTTCTTGTGAATTTCAAAATGTTTACAAACCGAAAAATGTTCTTGACTTAAAAACATATCCATAAATTCAAAAAATGATACACAAAGTTAAAATAAAAAAGAAGAAGCCAAGCGAAAGCTATAGAAAACAGAGAAAGAGAAGAAAAAACAAAAGATTATATAACCTTCTCAAAACCATGAGAACCTTTTTTTAATTGAGCTGTAATAGCAATGGGGACCAAATGACAAACATGTCGGCCAATATAAGTGGCACGAGCGTACAGGAGGGTGTGTCCATGTGCGCTATCCAACGAGCTAGGCCCATAATAGGAATCATCAGAATCGATGGAACAGACGGGTGAATGCGAATGCATTGCAAATGAACCGATTGAAAAGTTGTTGAACCGTTACGTGCACTCTGTTTATTCATTTTTGTTTGGAACTTGTGTCATTCCTTATGAATGTAAATGTTTCTTTTTTATTCCTTTTTGCATGTAAATGTGCCCCTTTTCTTACGGGCGATGATAAGCGCCGGTGCGCCGGCCGAAACTTTCGGCCGGTCCTATCGCGCACGTACGATCTGGATGGTTGTAGCTGCACGATCTTCGTCGCTGTAAGTGCTTCGTTCAGCAAAACAGGACAAAGAAAAATCCATGGGGCCTGTCACACCCGCGTCCATGTCGTGATCCTTCAATGCGCCAGCCAGCTCGCCGGCCGTCCTCGCCCTCTTGCCACCCTCGTCGCCGGCGGCCGTCCTCGCAGCACCATCCTCCCTGGTTCCTGAACAAAGAAGACGGCACCAACCTTCCCGGTTCCTCGCAGCACCAACCGCCGGCGGTTCCAGCAAGGATGGGTCGCTCCTGTAGCAAATCGTCGCCGCCTTCTAGTATGCTTGCCGTCTCTGTAGTTGCAGCTCCTAGCCGCCGCCATCGTAGCACGTTCGTCGCCGCACAACCATGCTGCCGGCCGTAGTCCTCAACATCGTCATTCGCACAAAAATCAGAACGCCGGTTGAAGCTTTTTCTCACGCAATGGAAGCTTTTTTTCCACGCCGGTTGAAGCTTTTTACATAGAGTGGAAGCTTTTCCTGAAGCCGACTGAAGCTTTTTTCATCACGGGTTGAAGCTTTTCTTAATCCATTTGAAACTTTTTTCCATTGTTGAAGCTTTTTTTTTCACGTCCATCGGCGCGCGTCGCCCACCTGTTTGCAGCACCGCCGCGCACCGGTTGTATCAACTCCGTATGTCGCTTACAACATTGTAGGGTCGTCGGTTGACGCTTTCGTATAAGAGTATGATTGTAGCTTTTTTAGTTCCCGGTGGTTCGATTGGGACTTTTTCAAACTATAATTGAAACTTTTCATATAAACGGTTGTAGCTCTTCGGTCGCAGAGTTGTCCAGTTGAAGCTTTGTATACTGTCGGTTGAAGCTTTTGAATTAAACGGTGGAAGCTTTTCTCAAGAATGGTTGTAGCATCGTCTCAGCTATCAGACGCCATGGCTGGTCGTGACTCATGAGACATCGACGGTTAACAGCGTCGTGCGCAAAACTCTTGCAACTCCCCTCGTGGCGGCTTCTCCGGCCCTCGTCGTCTTCTTCGCCCCTCGTGGCTTGCCCTAACAGCAAGGGGGCGTCATGCCTGTGCGTGGGGTGCGGAGATGAAGGAAAAGAACGGTTCCAACTAACCCCACATCGTGAGGAAGAAGAGGTGCAAGAGAAGGAAAAAACGATTCGGAGAAGTAATGCTCGTGGCCTGTATGACGCACGATCCAGACGGATCGCAAGGCTCGGGTGCGACCGACCCAATCTTCGGCCGGCGCCCCGGCTCGAAACGTTATCCTTTTCTTACACCTCTCAGAGAAAGCTACTTTTTTGAGACCATGCAAATTGCATGACTTAACTTTATAGTAGGAAGAGGATAAAATACAAGAAAGAGATTCTGCCACATTCCGGTGAAAAGCAGGTGGATCTTCGACACGAAGGCATACAATACAACAAGAACACACAAGAAAAACATGTTCTAACTTAACCAAACAAAGCCACATCTCAACCAATGTCGGTCACCTTCAAAGAGCAACAACTTCAAAATAACTATCGTTGCCTACACACCAATCACCGTTGAGAACCTCAAAGAGCTGGCGGATGGGTGGCGGTACTCGGATAGTCACAAGAAAGTCGTCATCTTGGACTCACCCGTGACAGCCTGCATAGCGCCCTAGAAACCAAGCCAGAAAAGCGAGGAGCACCAAGGAACACGAAAAGGGCGTCCAAGCCATGTCTCCAAAATGATGCTCCTGACAGAGGAATGACAGCAAGGAAGCCGCCATCGTCGATCCGGATTTGAACCAAGACTTTCGCCAGAGACTAAGGTGGATAGTGGCGCTATCTGGTAAGGAAAAAAGCGACAAGGAGGATAGTGGCGCTATCTGCTATAGTTGTCTTAGTGGCACGGTAGGCTGTCGTTTAAATGACATGACCCACTATTTTAAAACCTTGAGTGTAACATCTACCTCAAACCGACTATCCAAAAACTGTTAAGTCCCCCACCGTAAAAAGACAATAGAACCAACGCTGGATAACATTGTGATCAGTTTAGATGAAACAAAGCCATATCGAAACATGAATTGTTAGAGATGGTCGGCATAAACACGATCGTCCCCAATATTTTTGAGATGGCTCCGCCGATCACTCATCTCAGATGGTTTAGCGTTGAGAACCCAATGCTTCACATCTAGCGTGAATACGCTTTGCTACTTCCCAACTATTGTGCCGTATCTAACTCGTGGCCGACGCCCTACACCGGTCACACATTTGCAGATAACTCTACCAGGCTCACCCAGCATCGCTGTCTCCGTCCCGCTGCCATGGCGCTTCGATTCCACTTTCTTTTTTTTTGCATGCGCGGTCCGTGTCATATTGTACCCTACGCTGGACTGCAAAAGGTGTCCAGAGCTAAAGCCCGACCCAAAAAAATATGCTTGGTGCGCTCCATGCATTGGTGCTTCTTTTTACGCTTTTGGTGCTGCTTTTGGGGACGCCCTATTTGAGGCGTGGTGTGTCTGTGAACGCGTACTTCCCCCAAGCACCATTTGCGGGGCTGGACGCCCCTGTTTTTTCTTTCCTTTTACTTTTCTGTTTTTGTTTTATTCCTTGTTAAAATAATTTGGGATTACAAAAAAGGTTCTAAAATTTTAAAAAATTGTGAATTGTGAAAACAAATGTTCAAGAAATCCTAAATGTTCACGGATGCAAAAATGTTTGTGATTTTTCTAATTTTTAAAATATATTTAAAAATTGTTAAAGAAATTTAAAAATGTTCAAAATTTGAAATAATGTCCATGTATTAAATAAGTTCATCGTTTCATATAAATATGGTAAGTAAAAAAATTATCGTCAATTCGAAAAAATGTTCACAAATTAAAATTTGGTTCTCAAAGTTTCTAAAAAATGTTCACAAGTTTCAGAAAAATGTTTTTCTATTCAAAAAGAGATTCACAGTTTCAGAAAATGCTTGTGAATTTGATTTGTTTTTCATAATATTAACAAATGGTCGGGGATTTAGAAAAAATATTGCAAAATTTGAAAAAAAAATCACAAAAATCAAAAAGTGCTCACAGATACAAAAAGTATTCCTGAACGGAAAAAATGTTTGGCACATTTTTTTTTCTTTAATTTCGGTAGTTCTTCCAAAATTAAAAAAATGTTCAGCGGTTCAAAACATTGTTCACGTGTTCCAAAAATGTACGCAATTTTAATAAGGTTTATGAATTCGAAAAATGTTCACGCATTTGTAAAAAATATTCAAAGAATGTTCCTGGTTTTAAAAAAATGAGTCTTTGAAAAATGTTCATTGTTTGAAGACACGGATTTCAAAGATGTTCACAAATTGAAATGAAAAGAAATAAAAAATAAAAAATGAAGAATGAAAAAAAAGTAAGAAAAAG